GTTGACATGATTGTGGAGAAAAATCGAATGAACAGGAAATTGGAGGAGGGTAGAGTTAGCGATAACTTCGCCTACTGCTTAAGCAAATTTGGGAAAAACTGGAATAGAGTAAGACCAGCAGAAAGGAGACGCCTGGATCAAGGATCTATTGCTAACCGGAGGAAAAGGGATCGCGAGGAAGAAACTGGGGGGAACGGGTTTTCTGCAATTGAGCGAAGACATTGTCAGTGGGTGATACCCATTTCGAATAAACCAGTACAACTTTGGGGGCCTGGCAGTCAGGGAGATGGGCAGACGGATAAGCTAACCGTCACGGAAATACGGCGTTACGGTCAAAATGTACAAGAAATCCACTTGACATGCCACATGCGACCAGAAATTGGCGTCCACAGTTTGCTCAGATAACATGGGTTTAATCAAGGAAAGGACCCGTGAAGGGAAGGCCTGAAATCTGCAAGCATGGGATTTAGAACTTAAGCACTTCGCTTAGTGAAGCGGCAGTGTACGTGCTTCTAGGGCCTTGAGAAATAGCGCTTGGAGTGAAATGCACACTGGGACTCGGACTGGATCCGAGTGAATGGATCTCCGAGACAATGAAGGGATCCGGATTGTAGGCCCGAGTCGGATGAGCCCATCGAAAGAGAGCGGTCGGGGTAAATAGCAAGTATGATGAGGCAACACTAGGTTTGCCACAAAAGAGCACACATTTTGACGAGTAAAATGTAAACAAGTGAGAAGTTGTAATAGGGCGGGAGTTGGATGAGAGGATAAAGAGTAAATAGATAGACAATTACAGAAAGAGGAGTGATAATGTAACCGTTTTCGGCAGAACGGTTGTCGAGGGATTGACTTCACTTGTTTCTTTGACGAGTTTGTAGCTTGGTGCGGCGAATGGCAAAACTCACTGATGATGCCGGCGAAACGTTTAAGAATGCATCAAGTCCACTGTCAGATGCTGGGAATTATGATAATTATTATTACAGAGGACTTTGGACAAGGTGTGTTCTACTAAGTCGCCCTGACAACAAGATCAGGTTGCGAAAACGAGGTCAACCCACTTCTATAAATCGAAAGGAGACTGCGACTATACCAGATGCCACAACATCTTATTCTTTATCTATTCAGTTAGAGATTAAGTTTACTCTAACGTAGAAGGGTAAACAATTATGTACGAACTATTCTTGACTTATTTATAAATAAGATGCTGAGACACTTAGAGAATAAAGATGAAGCAAATTGCATGCCTGGTTAGGCAAATTCTAATAATCGCAGATATCTTATACATCTGATGTTATTTTTCGTTTGTGAGTAAGTTTCCAACACTACCAGTAAATCTTTTATATGAGATGTGTTCATCCTATTTCGTGTAAGTGATGAAAGACTGGTAGTGGAATTTTCCTACAGTTGTATGATGTTTCAAGATTATATGCTAAATTGTCATGGTTCGAGCCGCGCTTGGGATGTTGATAGAACCTAGGCGAGGTCGAAACTGCAGTTCAGTCCAGTCCAGTCTGGATGAGAATACCCTTTGGGAAAGCATGGCTGTATGAAGTACAATGGACACGTAATGTTTACTCATATCATTGTGAAAAAATTTAACTATCATACCTTTATCACCTTAAACGAAATAGGGTGAACAATTCTCATATATCTGATTTACTGGTAGTCTTGAAAAACTCGAAAAAACTTAAATCGAGAGATATAGAATGATTTGGCTAGTTCTCTTTATAGATATCTATATATCTATATTTTGGCTTTTTAGTTGTACATATATTTATAAGATTTATGATAGTTACGCACAGTCGCTTTGACTTGAGTCTGTTACAATAATGCATTCTAGCTCTGAGGATGTTCTGCATATGGTGGACAAGATTTCAGTTCTTTTACGCCCGATGTCTCTTGAACTGCGTTATTCGGTATTATAATCACTTTCCGATAACGTGTTAAAGGCAAACGGCTGCAGAACAACGTAGATTGGCCGTCGTCTTCCGTCGACATCAGCCAACGAACCTTTTCATAATGCCCTTTCATACGAAATGAAGTCTCCATAACGATGTTATCTTAAGAGATTCATCGAAACTCATTTAATCTTCGTGTCTGCAAACGGTAAATCTAGTCATGATGTTGGACTACGTTTCATTGACTGTGATTTTTCGGATCCGTAAGAAGTTGAACCTAGGACTTATTTTCACAAATCTCCAGTCCCCGTTCCGATTCGAGCATGACAAGTTCACGAATCACTTTCACTTGTCTCTTTGAATGATACTTAAGCATCAATATAGTAAAGGATTCTTCCCAAAAAACTGTTATATATATATATATATATATTCATGGAAACATTGTTTTGGGAGTCTTTTTTTAAATATGAAAGTGCATGAAGAAGAGATTCAATTTTCTATCTCACCAGAAGACAACGGCTGATTTCCGTCCTACTGCAACCGTTTAACTTTAATATGACGTTCATGTTGACAGAGTCCACGAGACATCCTTGCTCGTTTCGAGCGAAAGCTGGCTGAGCTTTTGTCCATCATATGATGGAAATCCTCGTAACCTGAACTCATTCTTGTAAACGTATCTTATACATAATCATGACTCAAAATCTAAATAATTAGGAATAAATAATTATAGAATGGTTTGGTTAATTATCTTTTATATTGGGCATGCTATTCTACTCCAGTGTGTATGTGTGTATGTGTGTGTGTCAACGTCTATATGTAATACCGGTGATCAGTAAAGCCGTTGTCATCAAGGCCTAACATCCCAAGAAAAAGCGTTGACCGAGCCTGCGTCAGTCCGTACTAGAGTCAAACGGCTGCCGTACAATGCGAATCGGCCATCGTCTTCCAATGAGATAGATCTTCCAATCTCATCTTCATTTCCTTTCACACGAAATGAACGTCTCCGCAGAAATGTTGCCTCAGGAGATTCATCGAAATGCAATTACTCTTCGAATCCTCGGCACCTCGAGAACGGCTGCCGCCTCTGGATAAACGGTGCTTTCTACGAGACCGGCCAAATCCTTCCTACCGGTCATGGTTTGCTTCATCCGATGCTCAATTCTACTCTTGCCTCGATGACTGTCTGCCTCCTACGCCGTCGTTTTATCCAACCGCTTTTTCAACCTTTGGCTTTTCTCTTTTCTGCCGCCTCAATGGCACGCTTGCATGCCTCTTGTCCCTCTGACAGGCAGCAGGTTTAGAAGAGGATTTCTGAGATTTAATCTTGAGGAATCCGAGCCTGATGAGGGGGTGGGTCGAGCGAACTTGCGAGGCCCAATCTGATTCATAATTTGTAAAGCCACCAGCAAGTCCCACTTCATACGGTCTGCATCGTTGACGAGCCTGCAATTTGTTTCTCTTCATCTTTTTACTTGTTCCCAACCGACGCGATTCACTCAAGGCTGAACAATCGACCTACTGTCCAATTGCCTCCGTCCGACCGTCCGACCGTCCGACCGTCAGCCCGACCATTCCAATTCCAGACAGCCACGTACCAAATGGGAATCCCACTCACCAGCTTGACACACGTGTCGCGGTTACGGGCTCACGGACTCACGCAGTGTAATGTCTAAACGGTGATATGACATCATTTCATACCCACTTCTTATCACAACAATCCTCTCTTTCTTTCTAATTATCTATTTCATCCATTCATTCATTCCTTCCTCCCTCCTTCCCTATCCCTCGTCATTGTGTCTCAGCGCCCCAGACTGACCCATCCATCCTTCATAGTTGCCTCAGTCCCTCAGAGACGTTCCGCCAGACAGGGACATCCAATTAGCCCAACTGACAGTCAAACGGGGGAAAGGGGACCGACGCCTGGCAGAACGAGTCAACTCTCTCACCGGTCGGTCGGTCTGTTGGTCTGTCCATCTGTCCATCTGTCGGTTTGTATGTCTGTCGGTAGGCCTGTCAGTATGTCGGTCGGTCTGTCTGTCTGTTGTTCTATCTATCGATCAATCGGTCTGTCCATCTGTCTGTATATCGGTATGTATGTCGGTCGTTCTATATCTCGGTTTTTCTGTCGGTATATCTATCGGTCTGTCTGTCTGTTGTTCTATCTATCGATCAGTCGGTCTGTACGTATGTCTGTCTATCAGTATGCGTGTCGGTTGGTCTATCTCTCGATTTGTCTGGCGGTATATCTATCGGTCGGTCGGTCTGTCTGTCTGTTGTTCTATCTATCGATCAATCGGTCTGTAAGTATGTCTGTCTATCGGTATGCATGTCGGTCGGTCTATCTCTCGGTTTGTCTGACGGTATATTTATCGGTCGGTCGGTCTGTATGTCTGTTGCTCTATCTATCGATCAATCGGTCTGTCTGTCTATCGGTATGTATGTCGGTCGGTCTATATCTCGGTTTGTCTGTCGGTATATCTATCGGTCGGTCGGTCTGTATGTCTGTTGTTCTATCTATCGATCAATCGGTCTGTCTGTCTATCGGTATGTATGTCAGTCGGTCTATCTCTCGGTTTGTCTGTCGGTATATCTATCGTTCGGTCGGTCTGTCCGTCTGCCTGTCTGTATGTCTCTCGATTGGTCGGTCTGTCTGTCTATCGGTAGGTCTGTTGGTAGGTCGGTCTGTCGATCATCTGACTCAACCGACGGGGTCGCAGACGGTGCCGGACGAGCGGGTGATGGGCCTCGTTGACTGGATGGATGATGTGGGAGCCCTGATTTGGGAGAGTTTTAACCTTTGCTGCAAGCGACCAAATGTCCTCTCTCCCTCGGTACCCGAGCAACTTAACTTGTCCTCTCAATTCCTTAGTGACATCCATTTTGCCCAAGAGTCTGTCCTCGCCAGGAATGAAGGGAGCCCAGTTTCAAGGTCGCCACGGTCACCTCGTTACTCAAATCCCAGGGCCTAGTCGTCCGGAGTAAACACAGTAGGAATGTAAGCCGACTTTTCAGTATGACAGTCAAGTTGGTCTAAAGGGACTCGTGGATTGTGTGAACAAGTCCCGTATGAATACATGTCGAGCCTTCGTGTCTGTCAGGTGACAGCATCATCGTCATCATAGTCATTCTCATTCAAGGGGAAAGCACATGGGGACATATTACAACAAAATCAGAACTGGAATAAGAGCTTAATATGTTTTAGGTCGTGTAAGGTTATGAAAACTGATTGTGAATTTTCACATAATCACATTAATAGCTATCAAGACAACACTTAATTTCTCATTCAATCTTGCCCCCATATGGGTCTCATCATCAGCCCAAACGGGACTCGAAACTGGGTAGAGCAGTGTTTTATTCCGTCATTTTGCCACTACGAGCTGCATTTACGTTATTTCATTTAGGGTGAAGAAGGATTGAGTTTAATTTTACAACAATCATATGAATCGGCCTCGTGTTTCCTTTGAATTTCATATAGTATTGGTTCACAAAAGTTGTTATCATCTTATATCAGATCTTGTAGTTGCCTCGAAAAGCTACTTATACCCTGGAAATAAGTAATATAATTGATTTCCATAGAAACTACTAATTCTCCTGAATAGGTTTCCGAGATTACAACTATTACTACTTTTCGTCATAGTTGCAACGTGATCGTCGCAAATGCATTCACCATTTAAGTCGACTAAAGCTCTTATTCAAGATCTCCACATGGCCTTGAAATATTACTTAACACGAACAAAAGTAATACTGCAAACTGGAATGGAAAAATGCATGTTTGCTTAAGCGACAATTCCATTACATAAATGTGATTCTAGAGAGGCGTAGGATGCTTTACAATTTACTTATTCCCCATGACCAACTGGCAGTCGTGGCAGTGTGGCGTAACGGTAGCATGTGAAACTTGTACGCTCCATTATCCCAATCAGGAGGAGCCGATGAGACCCAGGCGAGGTGGAAACTGGAGGAGAACACCTTTTTGGAGGAAGGGCCAAATGAGATGGAATGGCATCTTTAGGCCCACTTATCCCATTATTGTGAAAACGTTCATTTCGCATAACAGTGCTTCTGAGGAAGAGATCCGTAGACGACGATTTACTCACATTCTACCGCAGCCTGGTGTCAACTTGACACTTTTGTAGGAATGTATTCCAGTCCTGAGGATGCCCATAATATGATGAACGAAGTCTCAGCCAGTTTTCGCTCAAAATGAGAGGGGATGTCTCGTGGAATTCGTCAGCCTGAACGTCGTATTAAAGTAAAACTGCTACAGTACAGGTCACCTTCTCGTGATACCTTATAATTGAACTTCTAATCATGTATTTTCATGCAAAGTTAACATGTTCACAACAATTTTATCTCAGAAGATTCACCAAAACCCATCTCATTGTTGAAAATTCACTATCAGTCCTTCTTCACATTAGGCTTCTTTTCCTATTCAAAACAAATATTTTTTTTTCGTAATCAAATAGAGTTTTGAGACTACTAATAAATCAGTAATATAAGATCTAATCACCCTATTTCGCTTAAGGTGATGAAGGAATGGTAGTAGAATTTTCCCACAATGATATGAGTTTTGATTGAATTTTACATAGCCTTGCTTTCCCAAAAGTTGTCCTCATCTAGGTAGAAGTGGACTGCAGTTTCGACCTCGCTTCGATCTTATCAACAACTCCAGCGGGAGTCGAACCGTGACAATACAGAATGGGAACTTGACACGTTAACCACTCGGCCACATTTCTAAGAGTGTCATTGGGTCACAGGGTAGATGTGAATTTCAAGGAAGGCCAGGCCTTCTGCCATATCATATTCTTTGGTGGGAATGTCGATGAAGCAAACGTACTTTTGCTAAACAATTGACTACGTTACTTATTTTTCGTATGTGAGTAGAGTTTCGAGACTACCAGTAAATCAGTAATATGAGATGTATTTACCGAAAAATAAGTAGCATAGTCGATTGGTTAGCAAAAATACGTTTGCTTCATCGACATTCCAAACAAAGAATATGATATGGGAAAAGGCCTACACTTCCTTGAAATTCACATCTGCCCTGTGACCAAAGGGCACTCGTGGCAATGTGGCCGAGTGGTTGACATGTCAATGTCACGGTTCGACTCCCGCTGGGGGTGCTGATAAGACCGATGCGAGGTCGAAACTGCAGTCACTTTTGTCTGGATGATGACAACTTTTGGGAAAGATAGTCTATGCAAAATTCAATGTAAATGTCAGCTCTACAAATATATTTTTGTCATTTTCTCAATCTATTCATACATGCCAGTGAAGTCGCAGAAATCTGCAAAGCCTGCAGTAAACAATAAATGAGGCACCTGAATAACATTTCAGAATTAAATCATTTTGTTTGACCTTTTTTTCACAACTTGGTCATATTGGTAGCAAGACCTAGAGGAACGCACCTAGTCCACGGAGTCCATTGTATGCATCAACATTTTCAGAGTAGGACCGTGGACGTGGTACATTCCCAGAAGTTTCACCGGAATCGTAGTTGGCACCAGCAGTGAGTCTTGCCATTCTCAGCACCAAGCTACAACTCGTCAAAGTGAAGTCGATCCCTCGACTAACTTTTTTCCGAAATGGTTCTGCTAGCACTCATCTTTCCGTCCTAGCCCTTCTATCTACACCCAACCCTATCACAACATCTGACTGGTTTATATTCCACTTCTCCAGAGATGTGCCCTTTTGGCGAAGTTACCGTGTCGTCATCACACCTGCTGCTTACCTTGCTTCCCTCCCCTCCCCTTCGAATGGCCGATCCGACTCAGGCCTCCTGTCCGGATCTGCTTTAGGCACCCGTAGATCCGCTTCATATCTTCCTGGTTGACCGATTTCACTCGATTCCAGCCTCAGGGTTCTTTTGTCTCCAGCACCTATTTCTCGAGCCTCCAGCATCACGTACAATGTCGCCTCACCTGCAGACCGCCCATGCTTGTAGCTATTCGACATTGCCTTCGCGCATCACCTCCTTGACTAAACCCGAGTACCCTGAGCCAACTGAAGACGTCTATTTATGATCGCCTGTTGCATCTCGAGTGGATTTCTAATCAACTTGGCCACAAGACCGAATTTATGTGACGGTTGTGAATTTCCCCAGCCCTAGTCGCGTGACTGCCAGGACGCCAAAGTTGCAATTGTTTCTTGGAGCAGACCACACTTAGTCAGAAAGGCTTCGCTTTTTTTCCTAAACTTCCTCACACTCTTCTTCCTTGCGATCCCTTTTCCTCTGTTTTATGATAGATCCTTGATCCAGGTTTCTCTTCTTTGCTGGTATGCTGTATTCTTCTTTTCCCCGAGTTTGCTTAAGCAATAGGCAAATTTATGACTAACTCTGCCTTCTTCGAAACTCCTGTTCATTAAAT